AGGCCCGAAACGTCAGCTTTCCTGCTCCTCTGATGCTGCTTGGCCTGCTGTGTTCATCCAGCTCTACACCTTGTTATCTCAGATTCTCCAGCATCTGCAGTTTCTACTATCTCTCAAACACCTCTCTTACTGTCTTATACAACTTAACAATTTTCATATTACGATTTTGCAGCTCATTAGAATGAAAATTTTAAGCATCTTGCATGCCCAAATTACTTTCTGTGTGAGCCCTGCTTGTCAATACAGATCATTTCTCCCAGAGACGGATTGGTAATTGTACAGAACTTTGTTCTAATAACTTCAAGCACTCTAGTGTGCTCTAGTGGTGACCCCTATCAATCAAAGTATACTCAGGTCTTCAGACCAAGACCGTGAATTTTGTGGCTGTCTCCACCATACAACATTGAGGCAAACCTTGATTTTATGAATGATATTAATAATATTAATGGCAAAAACAGTACAGAGAAAACTGAGTGTAAAAGAACAAATAGCAACAGAAAGCTCATGTGCAATATTAAAACGGCAAGCAAACATCAACTACTATTATAAGTTGTTTGGAAAAGGAGTTTGGTCATATATTTTTAAAAATCCCTGCTGATTAAATGAATCAAGTCATTGTAGTTACATGGGTTCAGCAAATGTCACTGTAGTAACTTCTGTTTGAAGACCTCCTACATGTAAATCATTTATGTGAAGAATGTTGAGCTAGGCCATGAACCATATTTTAAAATCTGGATAATTTAATTCAATATGAAGGATCTAGCTGTTAGATTCTGTTTTTGTGAAATAGTGTCTAAATTTCATCACAGACCTACTATTTTGTATGTGTGCTGCTGCGAAAACGGTTCAATAAATCACATAACTTCTTTCCCCAGGTGGCTGTCAAATAGTAACAGTAACAGGATTATGGATATAAATGACTGAATAGCCTTGATATTTTGAGGAAACAAAAGATCTGTAATAAAGTTTTCCACCCAAAGAATGCATTTGCAAACAGTATGTGTAATTTAATTACCTTTGAGTGACACATCACACAATAGATGATAGCGAAGAATATCTCAAAAGATGACTGTAGGAATTGGTTTACAATGATTTGTGTGCTTCGTTACTAGATTAACGTATAACTTACCCCACAGTTTAATCCATTTTTTGCCTTCTTGGTTGAATAGCGTTTTTCAATCAAAACTGATGTAATACATTAGCTTGAACTTTTAAAGCTACAGAGAGATTTTAATTAATACTTCAGCTGTTGAATATTCTCTAGCAGAGCTAAACAGATTATTAGGCACAGCTCAGTTGGTAGTGATCTTGCCTCTGATTTTTGCGGTTAGAAATCTGCTCTGGAAGCG